ACATAGAATTCTTTGAAATAAAACAAGCTATGGCACAACTAAAGAACAATAAGGCTCCGGGTCCCGATAAATAAATAAATAAATAAATAGTTTATACTTGTTCATTGTTTGTTCTCTTGGTTTGTTTGTAGATGTCAATAATCATTGACGAAAGCTTAGACTTTCTTGCAGCATTATCTCCTTTCCACTTTGGGCTGATACGAATTCTCCCAAACCTTCACTACAACGTAGTTATCTTACAAAGGCGCCACCTGCTTTGGCGGCAGTGAATGAAAACGATATGATAATATCGTTTTCTGTATCCTCTGCGCTATGCAAAATGTGTAAAAGATTAAATCTTTTAGAGGAAGCCGCTATCATTTTATTAAAATAAATGGCCAAATATATGGCCTAAGAGGACAAATTCGTTAAACTTCCCGTGCTCGAATCGGTATCAATAAAGTGTTATGATCATTTCGGCCTATCCCAGCCTTATCAGACGCTTGGGCTGATACAAATTCAAACCCGGAAAGTTTGAATTCAACTTTGAGGAGACCAAAATATAAAATTTTAAAACTGAAATAATACAGGGAAAAATTCAAGAAAGAAGATCTGTTGGCCGAAGGCTAAACTCATGGTTGAAGAATCTACGTGATTGGTATTAATGCAAGTTGATCGATTTGTGTTTATAGCAGCAAGTTCAAAAATAAAAATATCCATTTTGATTCCCAACCTCCGTAGGGAGACGGCACTCTAAACAGAAGAACAAATGGTATGAAAACTGCAATGGACATGTCGAACATGTGACTTGTACCAAATTAATCAAATAAAATGAATGACTTTTACCATGTATTAAAGCAAGCACTAAATAACACAAAAAAAACACGAAATTTGTGTAATAATGGGAGACTTCAACGATAAGTAGGGGAAGACATAACTCCCGGAATTACTGGAGGATTCGGTCTTGGGGAAAGACACGAAAGAGGTGATAGGTTGGTGGAGTTCTGCCAAGAGGAATACTTTGTTATCACCAACACATGTTTTTAAACAACCAAAAAGACGTCTCTATGCATGGATATCGCCGAGAGATGGCCATGGTAGTGTAATACGTAACCAAATAGATTATATCATGATAAACAATATATTTCGAAACTCATGCCAATGTACTAAAACATATCCAAGTGCCGACGAAGCCACCGATCACAATTTACTGGCATCTATAATCAACCTAAAATTAAAGACAATCAAAAAGCCTTCCATTACAAAGAAATACGATAGAAAAAACTAAAAGTAGAAGAACTTATACATCACTTTGAACAGACAATGAACGAAAAAATTCGAGACAACATCACACAAGTATACAATGTACCAACAATCAAAGAAAGATGGGATAACATAAAGAATGTTATCATCGATACAGCAACGCAAAGTGAAACTGTCACCCATTATAAAAAGCAAGCGTGGATGAAAGATGAAATAATCGAAATGATGGAGAAAAGAAGACAGCTTAAAAATAGAAATAACTCAGAGTATAAACGAAAGCATAATCTGATTCGAAGAAAAATCAGGGAAGCCAAAGAGTTATGGATGCCATCCATAACATTAACGAATAATGAAGGTCATGCACTATCCCTAGAAGACGAAGTAATGGAGGAATGGGAAAACTACATTAAAGCATTATTTAAAGATGATCGAGGATCACTACCTAACTTAAATGCAAATACAGGACCATCAATCTTAAAAGCTGAAGTGGAAAAAGCCATACACCAAGCCAAAAACAACAAAGCCAGTGGACCAGATAAAATATACAGCGAATGACTAAAATTACTCTCAAATGTCATATAAAAGAACTCACTGTACTTTTCAATCAAATATATGATACCACTGAAATTCCATCGGACTGGTTAAAATCATTCTTTATTCCTCTACCTAAGAAACCAAACGTTAAGAAATGTTAATGAGCCATGCCGTTAAAATACTGTTGCATATTCTTCTAAACGGAATTAACGAAGAAATAATTAGTCAAGAGCAGTTCGGATTCCGGATATGCCTTGGAACTAGAGAAGCACTATTTTCTATGCAAACACTCCTTCAACGATGTTGGGAGGTAAGAAAAGCCGTATATATGTGCTTCGTTGATTTTGAAAAGGCATGTGATCGCGTTCAGCATACCAGACTAATTACTGCCTTGCAGAGCATCCAACTAGATGAGAAAGACATCAAACTTATTGCCAAACTTTACTGGAACCAAACAGCCATTATTAATACCAACCACAGAGAATCAAAGCCAATCAGCATTGAACGAGGCGTAAGACAAGTCTGTATACTATCTCCCACCCTCTTTAACGTGTATTCTGAGAATCTATTTCTTCTTCTTCTTTTTTTTATAAGCAAAATGCTTGTTCAATGTCGATTAATGCCTCTATTGGAGGTTATCACTCCATCTTTTGCGTGGTCGCCCGATACTTCTTCTACCTTTTGGTGATTTGTCCCTCGCTATTATGACTAATCGGGTCTCTTCCATTCTGTTTATGTGTTCGTTTCATTCCTTTTTTCTGTTCAGTGTCCACTCATTCATTTCTGGTATATTGCATTTTCTTCTGATCTCTTCACTCCTAATTCGATCCCTCAGTGTGTTTCCTGTAATTCTCCTCAGTAAACGCATCTCCGCTGTTTCTAGTAGTTGCTGAGTTTTGGAGGTATCCGGTCTTGTCTCTGAAGTGTATGTCATTATTGGTCTTATTGTTGCTTTGTAGATTCTTGATTTCACGTCGGTATTAATGTGGGGATAGCGCCATATCGTGTTATTAAGATAACCTGCTATTTTATTAGCCTTTTGTACTTGATTTTTCACTTCCTTCTTCACATCTCCGTAGCTAGACAGTGTAATTCCTAGGTAATTTGTCTCCATTACTTGCTCAATGCTGATACCGTCGATTTCCAGTTTACATCTAATTGGTTCTTTACTGATTACAATTGTTTTAGTTTTCTGTGTAGAGATCACCATATTAAAGTCCTTTGCCCTTGTGTTGAATCTATGGGTTAGTCTTTGTAGATCGTCTTCATTGGATGCAATTAGGGCCGCATCATCTGCATAGCAGAGTATTCTGATTTCTTTTTTCTCCATTTTGTATCCTCTTCTTTTATTCTATTTAGGGGAGAATCTATTTAGGGGAGCTTTAAAAGATCAAAAAGGAATTATCATAGGAGGAGAAATAATTAACAATATACGGTACGCCGACGATACTGTGATTCTAGCTGAAAACATCGACGATCTGCAGGATCTAATTTGAGTTGACATAGAATGCACAAATTGGGGACTGTCGATAAATATCGATAAAACTAAATACATGGTGACCAGTAAAGTAAATATCGGCGCAACCCAACTGATATTAAACCAACAACCGCTGCAGAGAGTTCAGAGATTCAAATACCTTGGATGTTGGATTACCCAAAATCTAGATCCATCCTTCGAAATTTGATATAGAATTGATGAGGCAAGCCACTATTATCCAACAACTCATTAAATTTGGAAATCCGTGAAAAGTTTACAAGATGTTACGTGTGGTCTATACTTTTGTATAGATGTGAGACTTGGACTTTAAACGCCGATATCATGAATAACATCGAGACGTTTGAGATGTAGTTGTATCGAAGGATACTAAAAATTCCATGGACTAGCAGAACCAGAAACGAAGAAGTTCTTCGAAGAATGGGACATCAACGAACTCTATTATATATTATTAAGAGGCGTAAACTAAAATATCTTGGACATATAATCAGAGGACCAAGATATGAGTTCCTTCGGCTAATTCTCAACGGTAAAATCGAAGGAAAGAAATGGATAGGACAGAAGAAACTCTCTTGGTTGAGGAATTTGCGACAGTGGACAGGTTTGACAGCGGACCAATTGCTACACGTAGCGCAAGACCGAGATCAGTATAAAAATATTATAAGCATGGTAGTCGCCGACGTTCCGTAGGGATATGGCACTCTAAGAAGAAGAATCAAATCCCCATGCTCGATATAAAGTGTCGAAGATTGTGCTAAGGTTGTAGTCACAGAAAACTTCTTTCAATAAACAAGTAAAGTAATACTATTAGGAATAGTGCATCCAATAAACACTTAAGGCTGTCTTATCGGTGCACCAAAACATAGTGACGTGTTTTCTCTGTTATTTATCGACAAAATGTGTCGAAATTTGGACACGTTTTCGAAATAATGTTGCCTTTAAAATGATGGTTTTTAGTACTCATAATTGGCGCTTAGTTTCATAGTTATCGCCTTCGTGACGTCAAATCTCATGAACGTACGGTCCGTTAGTTCATGTTAAAACTAATGTGAATGGAGAATAATGCATTTGATGTCATTAAACTACCCGTCGGCCGGCGTCACTGAGTAAAGATGGTCTGGCGTAAGCATCATATAAAAGTAAGTGATACGCCCATTTCAAATCGCAGTGGGCTTTGACTGCTAAGACAGCCTTAAGAAAAAGAAGTATAAACAAGTAGCATCCTAATGACAGACGAGCCAATTATCATAGAAGGAACTAAATATAATAAAAAGACTACACTAGAAATTTCCATCCCGGAAGTTGTCACAATAAACTTGATATCAGAACTTAAGATTTAATTTAAAAAATTGAAAATTCTAGATACCTATGGCCAGCTTCAGCCAATAGAAACACCAGATCCTCTTCCACAAGTTTCAACTGGACTTGGCACCACCAGTTTAATATTAATACTTTTTCTTTTGGTATATATTTTTGCTTTTCTAATAAAAAAGAGAAAAAGAATTTCCAAGTTATTTTTTAGACCCAAATTACAGGCAGTCCAAATCAAAATATTAGATCAGTTAATCGCATACGTTTCTTGGATTTCGAGCAAATCCATTGAACTGGAGCGGAGCGTAAAGTCAACAAATTCCATCGAAACCGGGACAACAAACTCTTTTTTACATTTTTATAATTCATTCAATTATTATTCTTACATCAATTCGTTATATATACAATCTTATTTCAGAAAATTACGAAAGCATTAGATTTTCATTATTTGTTTCCAAAACCAATTAGTATGTTCCTGAATTTTCTACTTAAAACATTATGTGCAGAGATGACAATATTCGTGGATATATGCTATATGATTCTTTATTTTGGAGACTATTCCAAATCTAATTTGATAGAACCGGTGAGTACAAATTTATTAAAACTTATAAGTAGTGTTAAATAGTCTAGGCGGCATCTGTTTTGGATTTGACATTTTCCATAGGAAGCTATTTTTTGCTTGAATCCTTTTAGGATGTGCCCAATATCGATAATCACGATATGCGCCAGTCGCAAACCCTGTGCTAAATTTTTTTACTAACAAAATCTATAAACAATTGAAAATTTCTCACTTTTTTGCTCCTATTTTCGTTTATAATTCCGAAAATATTGATCCTAGAGAAAAAATTATAATAAGTTAAAAGTTTCGCTATTTAATTTTACACAATATTTCGTTAGCTATAAATTGAAAATTTAATGTTTATTGTTGAAAAAATAGCAATAATTGGAAAAAAAAAGTAAAAAAAAAATTAAGATAATCCTTTAAATGTTTTCGACGTTCTAAACTTGACTTACAAGCTCCATATTCCACCTAGAAAAACTATTTAATATTTTAAAGCCTGTGCTACATTTTGTTAAGATCGGTCAGATAGGTTTTGCATAATAATTTTGCAATCCAGCCTACTGGAAAAAAAATCGCAAATTTTCAAATTTATAGTAGACCCTAAATAAGACCCTCAGAGAGTTGCAAATTTTTTTACATATAAAAGAAGGCTGAAACTTTCAAACGCTTTTGTAAAATTCAAATCGGTTTACTAGGAGAGCCTAGAAAATGTTTTAAAGTTTTAACCATTTTTTAGGCTTATAAACAAATTGAATAACTTTACGAGCTTTAAACATATCAATTTCAAAATTTATACACTAAGAACATTAAAAAACGCTTCTTTTAAAAAAAGATACATTCGGTTTACTGGTTGCCAAGATATTGAAGGTCAAAGTTGACATTGTAACGACAATATTTTGCTTACCTCAGGGTAAGAACATGAGGGGTAGAAGATTGGGCAAACAAAATAATCGTAACAAGTGCGAACGACACTCAGTTGGTTATTGGAGAGCTGGGTCGTGGATAAGTTGAAATAAAGGGTTTTGGATTGGGGTATCTACTAATTGAAACTAAGGGATACTTACATAAATCTCCTGGGCAATTGACAGAACAAAAGATCAAAAATAAACTGGGGACACCTCAAGAAATTTGATATAGGGCGCCACTTGAAGGATCCTAGCTTACAGAAGGAAAGAAAAAATTCTTCCCTAGTACTTATCTAAAATAACAAAAAAAGGTTAGGAGATTTTTCTAAATAAAATAAAAAAATAGATTAGAGAAACAAATCTAACATTTATTATTGTCTCAAACAGTTTTCAAAAATACAGCTTATACAAAGGCATATTATATAAAAATGGCTGTCAAATACAAATGAAAAAACTTACATATCTGTTTAGAAACGGTTACAAAATTCTTCGAAATGGTTCCTAGTAAATAATGTGGCCAAATTTTATGGATATCCTTTTATAAAAAATAAAATTTAATCTTTACTATAAATCAAAACATCTTTTACAATAGATTAAAAATCAAACTGTCATACGTCAAAACAAACATTTTTAAAACAGGATAAAATTATGACATGACAGTTTAAACCACGCCCTAACATAATATTTATTTTAATTACAAATATTTTTTTAAAAAATAATTTATAAAAGAAAGCAAATTTTGTCTTTTTAAAAGAAAATGTCTATTTTTACTTTAAAAATTAATAACGTAAATGTTACCTCAGTTCACACATGTTAACTTAAACTTTTGAACAACTGGCTAATTTCTGTGGGGTATCTAACTGCACATCAACGGAAAGCTTTATTGGAAGCTGAAACTGGCACATCCAAATCAAAACTGCTTCAATATCATTCTACGTGGGGTGAAAAGGCATCTCGGAAAGGAACTGGATTTCTCAAAAAACGAAAAACAAGCAGGAACTAAACTCGTTCACTCCTCAAACATTATAAATCTTCAGCAAAATCAAAACAGTGGTTAGTGGTCACTCTTTCAGAAACGACATATTACATAGAGTGAAAATTCCACCATATTTGGCGAATGAATGCCGGCTTACAACATCACAATTAAAACGACCTTTCCCTTCGAGCAAATATTCATCACTCCTTCGCTTGACCCTCTCGATCTCAATCTGCGGATAGTAACCGCTCTTTTTCCCCGCACAAAACCATTGCCATCTTGTCAAATCAACAAATTCTTTACTCAAACTCGTTCAAACTTCCGGCGTTACTGCGCTTTAGAAAAAATAATACCAAGGTTGCAATATTTTTCTGGGAACGTTGAAGTTAAAAAGCCATAAATTGTTTTCTTTAGCAAATACGTCTTTATTTATTGAAGAATTATTGCGTATTTAAAAATCTCTACAGACAACACATTTCTAGCATACCAGGGGCGTACTATATAGAATCGAATTTATAGTATTATTTAGACATTAAATATAAAACGCTACAACATACATTTGCCGTGTAACCATAAGTGATAGAGGGCTCGTTTTTACAAATACCCTCGCCTTGTCAAGTACTTTTTATATGAAAAGTTTTACATAATGCGCTTCATGGCAACATCCATATAAAAGACAAAAAAAACCGTTTTCGCGTAAAATGTCGCTCGGAATGCATGAGAGGTGATGGTGAGAGACATTCACTCGAAATGTGAATCGGCGAGTTCAAAATCATAGCGCGCGCTAAAAATTGCATTATCTCGGCTTCTTGTTAAACAATTTTACTCTTTTTTTTAATCGATATCTTGGACGACAATGATTTTAAATATATTTTCAAATACAATTTTTACTTGCAAATTGGGAAATTTGCAATAAACAATTGTATGTAAAACAAGTAATTTTTTCTTCATGCATGTTTTTGAGCTTGCAATTTATACATTGAAGTAAATTGTTACTTTTAGTAAACAAATATGTCTGTATAAATTGTTAATAAAAAATTTGAATTGTTGAAACAAAGGCTTTTTGTAAAAATCAAACTTTTTAAAATAATTAACATTAAAAATAATTTATTTCTGCAGTTTTATCATATTAATGACAATATTTGATTTGAGAATTTATTTTGATTCGAAAATGGCGTGTATACTGTACGTGTTATTATACTGCTGTGTAATGCTCGAAACTGTTTTTATTTTTCGGGCTTGCAATCTATACATTGAAGTAAATTGTTACTTTTAATAAACAAATATGTATTTATAAATTGTTATTAAATAATTTAAATTGTTAAAAAAAAGAAAAAAATTGTTTTCATAAATAAACGTTATTTTGACTCAATCTTCACTAATTTTTTTAAAGTCTTTTTCTATTTTTGGAAGGACAAGAATCTTTATGTCTTATTTCTTCCTCAAAACCTGCATTTTCCATTTCAATATCTTCATCCTCGATCTGTAAATTTAATGTTTCTTCTCTTTCATCTGTAGCTTTATCTTGTGCCCCTAGAAAATCTAAGGAATCCATCGACTCCATATCCATATCTCGTTCAACTTCTTCCAATATTTTACCGTGTTCAATATTTTTACATGTCTGACCATTGCAGTGAAGACAATGGTCAGAACATTTGAGACCATGTTTAATTCAACTGCATGTATTTGCAACTAATATTTCTGAATAATGAGTCAGGTAGTAATACCTGCTCAGTTTGTATTAGCTCGAGACCATTGTGAGTTAGTTTCCACCCCCACTCAGTAGCATTCAGGTTATTCCCAAGCCACTGCTGTACTTGAAAATATACACTAAGCGAGTGTTGCTAAGCTGCAAATTTTGTTAGTGGCAGCATGGACAATTGAAAATTTTTAATTTTGCAAACTTTTTAAAGCATAAGTAGCGAATTTTATTCAATGTAAAATCGCACTTTGAGTGGTCCATATACAATGCCGATATAATTTTGCATCCGCTGCGATTAATTTCTTCCTTAGTGGCACTTTTTTCATTAAAAATGGTTGCTTCTTGCGATATATCATTATTTGTTGAAAACAATTTAACAATTTTGCTTTTTTCTTGATAAAAAAATGCAGAGGTTGTATCACAATCGGAAAATGCGTGTAAAAGCCCACTAAATTTTTTAACGAAGATTTCATAGATTCACTTGTTTTAAGTGCATTATTGAAAGAGTTGTACGCGCTATGATTTTGAACTCGCCGATTCTCATTTCGAGTGAATGTCCCTCAATAGACCTCAGGTCATTAAAAAAGCAAAAACAGCACTAACACTTAATTCATACTCACACCACCTTATCGACAACACTTTTAAATCGCGACTGCATAAATTTTACAATAACAATAATAACAATGAAACCAACACGGTAAAGAAAAACTATATGTCTCTCCCCTATATAAAAGGATTATCAGAACAAATTGCAAATCTTCTGTCTAAACATAATATTACGGTTGCTCATAAAAAGCACAATCTTTTGAAAAGGAATTTTACAAGATTGAAAACAAAAACCCCTCTATTAAAAAGATCGCATGTTGTATATGAAATTCCCTGCTCGAATTGTGATGGAGTTTATATTGGACAAACCAGTCAGCTACGTAACTCAAGAATACGTTCCCACAAATATGACAAAAAAAAAACTCAACCACCCTCACAAAACATGAAAACGAAAAAAAACATAAATTTGATTTTGAGAAAACCAAGATCCTAAAAAGTGAACCCAACAGGAAGAAGATAGAGCTTCTAGAGTCTATACAAATAAAAAAGTAATAACGCAATAAATCATAAAAAAGATGTCAAAAATTTGAACAAAACATATTTTAACTTAATTTAAAAACACATAGAAAGTCAATCTCAGAACGCCTATGATGTTAAAATAACTGATTGTTTAAACGATAAACTACATCAATAAACAACGCATTAGATTTAACTTAGACCATAAAAACTGATAGACGCGCCGTAATGCTATTCTCTCGTCTCGAGGAGTGAAGCCAACATAAAACGATTCACACAGCTGTGGGTGACGTCAGTTTGAGGCAGAAACGGTAGAGATTAGTAGTGTTTATACGCGTTGTAAACGTTTTAAAGTGTTTAAATTTAAAAAATTTTT